GGGTCGGGGTGGGTGTGGGGAGAAAGGGTTGATGATTTTCTTTTCTCGTCGCGTATATAAACAGGATTAACTAATGGCTTCACAATCGGGCAGAACTGGATTCGGATTCCTATTCGCCAACGCCCAGCTCGGGCTGGCTCCTTTCTGTGTCTCGGTTTCCATGTTTGTAAAAGGGTGATAATAATAGTACCTACCTCAGACGTGTACCTCCGAGGCGTGTACCGTATATTTGTCCGTATAAGGCACTTAATAGGAATCCTGGCTCCGAGAGAGTATTGTGGAGAGAAAAACCCGTGTAACACAATGATAAAAAACAAATTATGTAAATTCATTGTAGTGCTTTTCCTGCCCATCAACTTATCCTCTAGAAGAAATTAGATATGAGAGAGACGTAGCAATCTGTACTGATGAAATGATATGCTGTTTGGGAATTAACTCAAAATAGCGGGGATTGGAATTTTCCATGTTGAAAAGTTTAAAGCGGGGGGCAGGGGGAAGATGGAGAACGAGAGCGAGCTGGAGATGAACCACATGCGATGAGTAGGCCTTGTTTGGATCCCGGTTAAGACAAACCAACTGTAAAAAAAAAAAAAAAAAAAACCAACAACAACAAAAAAAACACCTAAGACGTGTCGGGAAAATTTGAAGACATTTTATATTTGATGCGTTTTTAAAGAATTGATTATATTTTTAGTCGTCATAGTGGTATTGTGGTTATGTTTTCAAATTGTCTATCTTACAGAGATATACAAAAATACGGATTAAATAAAATATCTGGGATTGACTTCAAAATACGTCGATGACTAGGATTAGTTTTAAAATCTCAGTAGGGGGAGGTGCAGAGGGGTATTTACAAAACAAAATTGGTTCTAAATTAATAATCGTTTAAGCTGGGTGATGGGCATTTAGAGTTCCTTTTATTATTCTGTCTCCTTCGGTGTCTGTTTGAAATTTTCCATAATAAAATACAGAAAGTCATCTATTTGGTGAGCTTTAAAACGGAGTTGGGGGGAGCAGTGGGTGGGGTTATGGATGAAACAAGATGGCCTTCAGTTGGTAATTGTTAAAGCTGGATGATAGATTCGTATGAGTTTATCATATTCCCTCTACGTTTTTATCCATTTGAAATTTTCCTTAATAAAAAGTAAAAAGCAAAAATAAATTACTTCATCAGAAATCAGGGTAAATGTACAATAAAGTAAATTTGAAAATGTAACCACAAGAAGGAAAAAGAAACACTTGTACATTATTTATCAGCCTTGGTGTCCTTTGTGTGTGATAAAATGCATTGATTGATGAGGAAGAAAACCAGCATCTCATATCTTTTTTATTTTATGCCCTTTCCTGTTCCCTTGTTTGACCTTCTAGGCCATTATCAGAAAAGCTAAGTTTGCTGTATAGTAAGGATCAGAAGATCTGATCCTGATTACAGAATCTTGGGTAAGTGCCTCCCTTCTCCCGGCTTCAGTACTCAAACAAGATAATTTCACATAACCTTAACTGTCCAGGAATATTTTAAAGAATAATAAGTGTTTATCTGGGAAAGTAATCTAAATTCTAAGAAGGGAAGGATGGAGCTGAGTCCGTTGGTGCTTCCAGTATATAAAGTGCCTAAACACAGAGGGCTGTGTAATCTTGATAAAAGATACTACAATTGATCCCTGATAGTTTCGTACCCACATATTGTTCATACTTCGTGGCATCTCACATACAGCATAATTTAGAGGTTAAGAACAAATACTGACTTTCTGAAATTAAATCCTGGCTCTGCCATTTAACTCTGTGATCCTAGGCAAAATACTTACTTTGTCCCCACATTTCCTCAAAAGTAAAAGATAATAGTTTCTACTATATAGGATTGTTGAGAGGATTACATACAAAGTATTGGGACCCCGCTTGGCACGTGTGTTTGCTTTAATGATAATTATAGCTCTATTAGTCCTTCTGGCACATCCTGTTTTACATGTAAACACTTCTAGAAGCAGTGGATACCTCTTTGGAATTGTGAGAAAAAAATTAATACTGTTGGTTCATTTCCTGATTTTCCAGAAACAGCAGTTACCACTAGAACTGACTTCTGAAATTATGACTTCTGAC